TGGTACAGAAGTGTGCTGTCCACCATTTTTTATTCTTATAAAACTATTCAAACTACCTAATTTTGTAACTACATAAATTAGCAAAACCCCCAAATGATTAAGCGTACTAGCACCTTGACTGATAAAACAACTGTACATTGCACCATAACTTCCAAGGTTGCTAGGAAGATAACATCAAGGATGTAATCAATTGGTAAAATTGGTTAAAATGATACCGTAACACAGTATGCAATTTAGAAAATTTGAAACTATGCTGGCTTAACACAATGTATTTGTGGATGTGGGTGGTGCTCTAAACTAGCGGCTGTAAGTAACTACTGATTCTTCCCAAGGTTTATGTCTCTATACATCTCTGTACTGGACCTGAAGCTAATGATCAGAATGCTTATTGACCCCTTCTTTGTCTCCTCAGTCTGTCATTACTTGAGATGTAGCAACATTTATAACCACACCTGAAACAAAACAAATTGTTAGAGGGGCAACTGTATAACACTCAGGTACTGGCTATCCATAATATGCCAAGCGGTGAAACAGTTAAGCTAAATTGCTGACTTGGGAAACTAACTAGATGCCAAATGGGGATTAAAGGTTCTGCCTATAAGTTGAGCAGTTGGATAAATTTGCTACCGTGTATCATCGTGGGGTATTGGCCTCTTGGTGATGATTAAAGAGATTCAAGATTCAAGATAGATTGGCCATGATAGGTGAGGTCCTAACTATTTTGCCAAGAGGATGGAGATGTTAGACACTAACTATGATATGGCCAAAAGTTGAGAATAGGAGTTGGCTTCATGGGACAGCTATGTAATTGCACAAGAAGTTGAAAAAAAACTACCTATGGCTACCTAGGGTACCCTAACACCCAGACCAATCTAAACATAATGTTCTGTAGAAAAACGGGTTGTCATAGTTCGGGAGGTAGTTTTGTAAAGCGAGTCACTTGCATGGTGACTTGAAAAAACATGAATGTGGAGAAATGAAAATGTGGCATGCATAAATAAACATAAACCTGGCAGATTGATGAAAGCTAGAATGCTAGAAGTTGAAAGTAAGAATATGTGAATGGAAAATAAGAGGCAAAAAGGTGTATAATGGTACAATAACCAAAACCCAAAATTGACACAGGATAACTTATTGTTTATAATTCAGAACTATGTTAATAACACTGTAAAAATGTGGCAAAGTAATTGGTGGAAAGGTAGGTAAAGTAGGTCAGATTCCAGAATACTAAAATACTCTATTGATATCTTTTGCCAAACTAACTGGAAGAAATTGAACTGTGTAATAAATAACTCAGTGGACTATATATACTTAAAAGAGCCCCACATAATCAATAGCTGGTATGAATTATACATGTTGAGACTTGACGTACTAATATGTACGTAACATGTATAGATAAACAAGATAGGCCATAACGGATGTGGCCAGAATAAATGAATAACATGAACCCTGTGAGATATATACCAAGAGGTGAGGGTACATAATCACAAAATATCTACTTGTGGCTAACTATTTGCAAGTTTGGAGTAAGTAGGTATTGGGACAGAAAGGCATAGTATAAAACAGTAAGGACATGTGGAGTAACTTAAATTTAATATTTAACATAATTTATATTAATATTGTGTTTATACAGCGCAGCCCTTGCCCTCACCAAACAGTCATACTTTTCATTTCTCATTAGTTCGTGCTCCCCAATCCCAGGCGTCTCTTTGACACGTTTAACTCTCTTCTTCGCCCTGCTGTGGCCACTCCCCAAACTAACCTTACAGCCTTAAGGAACAATTTATCCTCACCTTGCCGTTCTCTTTCTCAACCACACGTTGATCATGCCTTTCCTACCCTTCAGACTTTCTCTCCGGCTACTGAACAAGAGGTGGCTGCGCTTCTCCTTTCCTCTCGCCCCACCACTTGCCTGCTTGTTCTGTCCCATCTCACCTTATCAGATCTCTCTCCCCCTGTCTTGTGCCTTCCTTAAAACACATCTTTAACTGCTCTCTCTCTTCTGGCATTGTCCATGCTGACCTTAAACATGCCACTGTAGTACCTATCCATCTCTTGACCCGTCCTCCCCCTCTACCTATCGTCCCATATCCCTGCCCCCTTTTTCCTCAAAGCTTCTAGAAAGACTTTTCTTTACCTGTATGTCTCACTTCCTCAATTCCAACTGTCTCCTTGACCTTCTTCAATCTGGCTTCTGCCCTCTCCACTCTACTGAGACTGCTCTTATCAAAGTTACTAAAGACCTAATCGCATCTGAATCCAAAGGCCGCTACTCCATACTAATTCTTCTTGACCTCTCTGCAGCCTTTGACACCGTTGATCATGCTCTCCTTCTTCAAAATCTTCAATCACTTGGTCTCTGTGACTCTGTCCTCTCGTGGTTTTCCTCTTATCTCTCCCAACTCTTATTCAGTATCTCCTTTTCTAATGATACCTCCTCCCTTGTCCTGTTTTGGTTGGAGTCCCACAAGGCTCCGTCCTTGGTTTCCCTTTCTATTTTCTCTTTATACTGCCTCTCTTGGCAAACTTATTACTTCATTTGGATTCCACTACCACCTGTACACTGATGACACCCAGATATATCTCTCCTCCCTGGACCTCTCCTCTGCCGTCCTGCAATGTGTCACTGCTTACCTTTCTTTCATCTCTGACTGGATGTCTTCCCGCTTTCTGAAACTCAGTCTCTCAAAAAATGAGCTCCTTGTCTTTCTGCTATTTATGACACCCCACTCACCCCCCCCCCTTCTCTAAATTCAGTTGTTTTAAGAGTTAAACTCAGTATTGCTTCAGACCTGAGGAAGAGAGGAAAACTCTTGACAGCTTGTCTTTGAAATATTATGTTAGTCCAAGAAAAAGGGTATCATTGCACACAACACTCTGGTATTTTGGCATCTTGTCTATTGGACTAATATGGCTAACATACATATATGTATTTGTATATCTGAATGTGTGTATATACTGGCTCATTTATATGTTCTGTTCAAGAGCAATTTTATAATCAAAATAGCTTGACATTCTTCAGACTTACACGCTTAATATTAGGGGCTTAAGAAAAAGGGATTAAACTTGTAACCATATAATTTAATAAATACAATTGCCTAGGGTTTAAACTTGATCAAGTGGCTCAGGTTACAGCAACATAGAGTTTGGCTGACTGACAGAATACAACTGAATACAGATGTAACATTTAATTTAATGGGCAAGATGCATATATATTTAGCAGCACAGAGTATGCAAGATGCATATATGTTTAGCAGCACAGAGTATGTATATATTATATAGAAATGTGTTGTTAAACCAGATTATCTTTTACTATCAAAAAAATTATGATCTAATTTAAATAAAAAATAAGAAGCGATTCACACCTTGGTTTCAACGTTATTATTTAGCCTGATACATTTTGTACATTTACACAATCCACTGTCACCAATACACTTTTAGTCTAATATATTTTTGCTTCAACATTTAAACATATTTGCTGACAGTGTCAAAACATGTGTTGACATATTTTGCACTGAGACATAGCACATTAACCCCTTAGTGACCAGACCGCTTTTCAATTTTCTTACCGTTTGGGACCAGGCCTGTTTTTACATTTCTGCGCTTTTTGTGTTTAGCTGTAATTTTCCTCTTACTCATTTACTATACACACACATATTATATACCATTTTTCTCATCATTAAATGGTCTTTCTAAAGATACCATTTGTAACGGATCACCTGGCACCCCGACTGGGTACCTCCATTGACAGATGCTCCTAGTGCTTCCCAAGGGCTCCAAGCACTCTACTAGACACCATAACCACCGCAGACCCCGTGAACCGCCGCAATCTGATTGGGGTCTCACCATCTTCCACCCACTCTGGACCCAAGACCAGGATCTAGCTTCCAGTAGGTAGACCTCTCTTAGTCCAGAGAGCAGGAACAGGAACAGTTCTTACAAGAGCTTAGTGATTTTACTCTGGGGAGTATAGTGATTATAGCAATCCCCAGAGTGTAGGTAGTTCTCCAATCACCCAAACATGAGCCAAGACTTCATGATGGGTAGAACAAGTCTGAGGCTTTATTAGTACAGGTTTGCTTATATACAATTCCTCAGGCCAGAGGCACACCCCCTGGACCTGATGGAACACAAAGGCACACACAAGACACAACCCAATCACAACCATACAACACTGTCCAACACTCCCACTTACAGCACACAATCCCTCCCCTCTGCCTGTGATATAATTAAAGTAGCTAATAGAATAACCTAATTATCCACAGGCAGAAAAACACACATTTTCCCCAGAGTCCAGAAAACACCCCAAAACTTAAGATATCCCCATTACATCCCGGGATAGCCCTGATCTGGGTGAGCAACATATCCAAAAATCACCCAGATCAGAGCAGGGGTTCAGGAAATTCCTGGAAGTCTCTTTTGAACGACCACATGCACATTTTCATGCCCAAAACAGTCCCAGAGAATTAGGCTGTGCGGCCGGTCTATTTTCAGTGTTAAAAGTGCACTATAATACAAGGAAGGATGGGGTAAGACAATAGCAAGGCTGATAGGAGATTGAAGAGGGAAAAAGGAACTGGTCTGGCAGTGTCCCTGGGACAACGCCCTGCTGGGGAAACAATAGGACAAGAAAAAGGGGGAGGGAAAGAAGCACATTTTCACATGGTGTTCTGTGGCACCTCACAGAACTACCCAAGAGACTCAGTAAATAAACAGACTCAGACTGGTGGGGAGCCATCTGATGGAAGCCTGAAGCAACACTTTCTAGCCTCTAGCCCAGCATAGGGAATGAGGCCTACTCACCTGGCATGCACCACGGTGGGGAGAAACGGCCGACCTCCCAGCCTGGAACTACGGGTGAGAAACAGCTTCCCTGTCATCCCCCCCTCTGAACCGGTGGGGGATATCCCGGTCCTCACTAGGCAACATCACCAACAAGCTTTCCTCACAATACTGTGACAGCCTGCCCGGCCGCGGCAGTCCCTTTTGGCATGAGCTAAATGTCCGACACTCAGATGGAGCCACCTGTGACACACTGGGAAGCAAAATTTCTTGCTGCTTTTGATAAGATCTGCTCAGCTTTCTGGCACCGGGTTGAATCCCTTCCGCAACTACATGCACCACTTGAAACACATGCGCTCACAGCAAGTGACCTTGCAGCCTGGCTTACCCCCGAAGCAGAGACCAGTTTGGCGCAAAGCCCCTACTTGTCAGCACCTCTTGCAGCACAGACAAGCTACACTGTGGTCCAGACCGCTCACCCCTCTTCTGGGCTGGTCGCCCACCTGCCGCACCGCCGTTCACACACCCAGGGACAAACCTTCAGGTGCAACAAGCACTGCGGGAAAGCTCCAGTTCAGCGCGGTCGACTAAGTGCAGCTAAAGCTATTAGACACAATTGGACACACGAAGACACATCTCTCCACAAGACAGCGGTGCACAGCGGGGAAAGCCTGAAGTCAGTGCCACTAGCGATGAAGTGGAGGCAGGCACCTCGGAAGGGGCATAATCCCATTATGGCCCGCTATCTTCCCTGGTAAAGGTACAGGTTGGGAAAGCTCCCTGTGCACACCTAACGTCCTCAGAAGGCCACAGCATTGCGTATAAGCAAGTGATTAGTTCAAGAGCCTCCAGACCAAGCCCCGGTCCCATTCCTCGATGGGACTCCTGTGTGTGATGCTGTAGACTGTTTGGAAGTCTGGGGCCACTTGAATGCAGCAATGTGTGCCTTGAGTCATCATCAGTACTGGGACAGTGTCCATGTCATGCTGGGTATCGGCTGAAACACACTTTGCTCCTATAAATACAGCTCTCTGCTCTCTCGTTAGGGAATTTATGATTTTCTCTGCTCCATTTGTTTTGCACAATGTTATGCACCATCCCACCATACAGCATCCAGTGGTATTATTATTATAAGCCTGCCATATAAGCTAGACATCATGCATCTGTTAAGCTTGTTTCAGCCCCCCCACATAAGCAGCTAGATTACTCCCAAAATCCAGCATGGACATACCCCATTTGCAATACCTTGGGTTGTATTCTTTTGCAAATGGTATGCCATCATGAGGGTAATTCTCAATCCTGGGCTACCATATGCTCTCAAAGGCAACATACCCAATCTGGCAAATTTTAATGTGAACAAAACGGCCTTATATTTGACCCTGTAATTTTCAAAAACACTATAAAGTCTTTACATAGGGGGTACTGCTATACTCGGGAGACTTCGCTGAACACAAATACTAGTGTTTTAAAACAGAAAACTGTATCACAACAATGATATCCTCAGTGAAAGTGCCGTTTGTGTGTGAAAAATGCAAAAACTTTCACTGACAATATCATCACCGTGATATGTTTTACTGTTTTGATACACTAATATGTGTGTTCAGTGAAGGCCCTCGGCGTAAAACAGTACCCCCCATGTACAGGTTTTAGGGTATCATGGAAAGTTACAGGGTTAAATACAGTGCTAGCACATTGAATTACTGGACTTTCAGGCTGGGTTGTCAGGCATGTCCCTCAAATTGCAATCAATAAAATTACTTACATAAATATGCACATAAAATTTAAATGTATATACATATTTATATAGTTGAAGTCTACGTGTATATTTATAACATTATTTATGTAATTATGTATATGTACAAATGTACATGCTGGCAGCATTATGGACACCTATTTGACCGCTCTTTCACAGCAATCACATGGCCCCTGGGGTCTTTTTTGCAGAGGGGGGACTGTCTGGGCTGTCAGACAGTCACCCAATAGAAGAAGAACACCGATCACCGGTGGGGGAAAGGCGGCGATCGGGTAAGTATATGGGAGAGGAAGAGGGAGATAGAGGAAGGGAGAGGGAGGGAGAGGGAGGTAAGAGGGTAATTAAAAAATATATATATATATATGTTTTCTTCATTTATTCTTCACTGAATGCCTCGACCCCTTGATGCACTCAGCACACAGGCAGAGCATCTGAAGCCTGTCTGATGGTTTCCGATGCTCTGCCTCACTGCCTGTCTCCACGTGGAGCAACGCGGAAGTGATCGCTCTGGGGGGAGCGATCACTCTGGAACCTGGCAGTCAGGGGGGTATTACACGATGCCTCGACATACAATACCGCTTGCTGCAATACCACTTCCAGCGCTCTAATTAGCCGCAGACATATCAGGTATGTCCGCGGTCTTTAAGGACTATTTTTTTGTCAGACGTACCTAATACGTCCTTGTTAGGGAAGGGGTTAAATATGCATTAAAATACAGGTAAAAATAGCCAACCTTCAGAATATTTATGTAATTATAGTTATACTCTGGGGTAAATTAAAACTAGGTGAACACCAGAAATACAAAGGTAAATATTAGATATCAGCTACTTGATTAATTTACCAATATTTCAAAAGTTGGAAAAAAATGAAAACAACTGTGAGTCTTCAAGATCAAAAAGAAAATGATACATAGTGTGACTTGCAGAGTAAAGAACATATGGAATTCTTACAAGGAATGTCGGGTAATCTAAGGTTTTATATGTATGGAATATAGATTAAATAATATCTGATGATATTCACACACACATAGAGCCTTCAGGGACCCTGTGGATTTTTGTTTTAAGCAGTGATATAAACACTTATGCACGGCAGATGGCCAATAAACAGACTTGCTTAAAATATATATAAATTTAATAATACACACTATAAAATGCAAAGCAATAAAACAATACAATTATAATCAATTTGCTCTATTATATATAAGTTTATGTCAACAAGTCAATTAGTTTACTTGACAAGCCTAAGAGTCAACATTACACTTTGTCTCATCTATAATCTTATCAGCAAAGGACAATAAAAGCTATTACAAACTTCACAGCAGAACCAGTATATAGAATTATTCACATGACACCCCTTGCATTAATGATACAATTGTCATTATATTAATTAGTTAAATATCAACCAACCCTGCCAAGTATATACCATCAGTTTAACTACAGTATGTTTATATAAGGTTTCTGATAGCCTTAGTATATATATATATATATATATATATATATATTGAACTGACCTACTTCTAAAGAAGGAATCAAGAATGTTCTGACTTAGGTAGTTATATCTGACTCAGGCTGTAGGTAGAATGAGATATAACTGTTCTATCAATGGGGATCAGTTCACAATATAGACACATAGGGCATTCAATAGTCCAGTTTATTTAATATAAAGTAAAGAGAAACCTTTATACATTACCAAGAGTCTAGGATGACTGAATTCAATTTGGGATTCTTCTCTCTGGGTACTCTGGTCTGTAATTCAGTCAGTCAATCTCCTCCTTTCTTAGCCCTCTGTTTTCTCCTTTGATGATTTTTTAAGATGATTTGAAGATATTGATCCTCTCTCTTATTTTTCTCACTATTTAACCATTATTTCCCCCTTATCAGTTCCTGCCCCTTGTTTGTAAATGGGCGGTACCTGGGACTTAAATCTGGCTTTTGATTGGTTATGGGCGTATCTTAATATTTAATTATTAATGTGACCCTTAGGGACTTTCATCAATAGATGGCACTATTTCCCTAGGTATGAAGACCTGAACTATATCATTGATGACCTGGTTAAATAAATGAATTGACCTTTAATTCACCTATACTGGGGATATGTCAAATTATGTTAAATATCTGTCTTTGGTTATGTATATTCTTTAATTGAAACAGGGTTGGTTATATTAATCATCATGCAATATGTCTATATCCTGTATCAATCTAACCTGTATGATTAAATGATTGATACATTCATCTTTGCAAAGAAAAATAGAATCTAATTATATTAGTATATCTATATTACCTTTTACCCCTAAATCAGTCAAGGATGCAGCTATAGACATTACTGTAGCAATCACACATTTAGTTTACATTTGTATATCATGCATGATTCCAATAGATTCATTTAAATTCTAATATCCTGAAAATATGGAAGCGACCTCAGACTTTGGGTTCGTATGGCTGACAAACACTCTGGATTGCCTGTGATGTTTATGCACAAACAAAAACACCATAAAGTTTGTATACCCCTTTGAAGCTCTGTGAGTTGAAGTATCTCATATTGTAAAGTCCCATTGAGTAATAAACCATTGTTCTTGTTACCCTTGTACACAGAACAGTTCCTTTGACCTGTGTTGAAACAGCATTACGCAATGTCCAGGCCAGTCCACCAGCATCCATATTGTTCTCTTTTAATATTAAAAATTATGGGGCACCAAACAGCACATCAGGAAAAAAAAGCATTGGCTTTATCTTGGAATCTGTGACATGAAAGTTTCTTTGTGAAGTTATTATTTAGTGAGAGTTTCCTGGCATATACACTGACAGTGTTATTCACTAAGGTGAGCATTGAAAGTGATTTTCAAATTTAAAGTCAAAGAAGCTGAGATGGAAACGTGGCTGATTTGGATTTTTTGTTGGCTATGTTATCATAATCTTCAATTTGAATTCTTGCTTTATTGAATAACTCTGTCTCAAGGTTAAAGCTAATGTGCTTTACTGGTCTGGAGTGTCCCTTTTAAGTGTATATGACAAGTGCTGTTAACTTTCCGTGTTTTCAAATGGTGAAAGTTTTTTTTAATCATATTGAGTCATTGAAAACGTGAATGTTAGCTGATTGCTAATGTGTACAAGACTTGAACTCTGTGGACTTTTGTTAACCTTTTGTTTGTTATTTGTTATAGTCTACTTGTATGGAATAAAGATAATGTAAAATTATTTACTGTTGGTTGATGTGCGTCCTTGTGCTTTGTTAACATCGTGCCGTTGTCAAAGTGGTTAAAGGCGAATGCAAAAGAGAAGTTAAAGTTTGTTTTATAGATGGACACTGAGCATTTGTAGATACAGTGGTTCACATATGAATATCTATTTCTTTTATAATTTTTTTATACTTTGTAAATGACATAATTTAATAAAAGATACTCCATTATCCTTTTTTCCTTTAAAAAAAAAGCCCAATGAAATTCCAGTTACAAACATTTCTAACAGTGCACTAAACCAAACAACAAAATAATAGAAAATAAATTAATTATATGACTCCAACAAAACAACCCGAAATAAATTCTCTCATTTACGGCAATCCAAGTTTACAGGAAGTAAATGCACATTCTGTTTACTTGGAATAGAAAATAGAAAGGTCTTAAAGTCGCTCTACGCCACAAATGTTTTTGTGTGTGTGCGTGTGTTTTTTTTTGTTTTTTTATAAATGCTGTGTCCATATAGAAGTAATTACTTTGCATGGTAAAACTTATTACAATATATAGTTTCTCTTTTGAATATTTCCAATAGCTGATTGCAGTAGGCCCACAGAACTCTGGGCTGTATAACTGAAACTTAGCGTTTTATCAAAACTCATGAATGGGGAACAAAATCAATCTATAGTAATACCAAGCATCTCTTTGTGAAAACATGGTGACATCACAATACAATAACACCTGGATGTACTAACGTACCAACATCATGATGGCA